GAGCAGGAGTGGCCTGTGGCCCAGCTTGGGGAGCAATGACCTCATCCTGTCAAACCGAGAAGTGCTGGCTCTCAGTGATGCTTAGATGGAAAACCACACACCCCTCACGGAGATAGGAACCACTCACTCATCTGGGTGATTGTGGCTCTTGGGACAAAGATCAGGTTCCTGGTACATAGTCTGGCTGAGGGCATCCCTTATCCCTGGTTCCCAGCCCTGGGACTGAGACGTTGTTCTCATTGTGCTGTGTTGATTTTATTCCTAGGAAAATCATCCCCAAAGGAGGTGTAAGGATCCTGGACTCTATTGCCTGCAAGAAGCTTCAGCCACCTTCACAGGTAGAGGTCACTGTCTTTCTTACAATGTCACCAGTGCCCCCACCCCCACCATCAGATACTTTTCCTATGGGAATCTCACTAGAGCAGAGAAGGAATCTCTTCTTCTCTTAGAACATGTCTGCTCAGTAAATTCACCCACACTGACCTCATCTTAGATGCTTTATTTATCTGAGATTAGTGGTATCTTTTGAAAACCCTTAGCATGTGGGGATGGGGTGGAGCAGGGGAGACTGGAGCTCCAGCAGATTCCCATGAAGAACACCACCCTGTTTTTCTGTAGTCAGGCTAGGGCTCACTGTCCATTGTGGAGGTGAAAACCGGATGGGAGCTGCTGGATTGGCCTTGATATGCCATGTCCTTGTGTGGATAAGGGACCTACACCACAGAGATGGCCAGCAGCAGATGTACCACACATGAACAGGAATGGGCTGAACAACCTACACTGATAGGTAAGTAAAACTGTGGCCACATATAGACACGACAGGCATTGGTGGGGATTGAACCAGGGTCCTTCAGCACAAGCCCCTCTCGCTCAAGCTAAAGGGATCACTCTAGGAGTCTAAGAGAGCTACCGGGTGAGTCTGATGGAATGAATAGAAAGGGAAGCCTAAGCTGAGGTTGCTGGGCCCTTCCCAGTAGCAGGGAGATGCTGCGGGAAGAAGTGGCAGTAAGATGGGATGGGGATGACTGAGGTGGAGATGTTTACACAGGGAGATGTTTGGATAGGGAGTTTAGGAGGTGAAAAGGAGAAGTCTGAGCTGGATATGGAAAAAGGGCAGCCAGAGCCTGACTTGGGAAAGTGGGGAAGACAGCACCAGGAGAGGAAGTTCATCTCAGCAGCTGCAGTTTGGATGGCTGGCAGGGGGGAGGGGAAGTCACCAGAACGTGATCTGGGGTCTTGTCAGTCAGAAGAGCTTGGATACACTGTCAAAGAGATCGGCCCTATTTTAACAGAGCGAGGAACAGAGATGAAGTGGTGAAGAGTTCCCTGAGACCTAGAAAGGAGGCTGGTTGCGACTCTGTTCTGATTCTAAGTCCTGTGCTTGGACCACACTCCAGTGCAACCGTCTGTAAATTAATGACCTACCTGAACAACAACCGGTGCTGCCGCTGCCTATCCTGGAGCAGAAAACTGAGAATTTTGTGGGAGCTTTCTCAGGTCAGTGTCAACCAAGGCTGGTGGCCTGTTGGAGAGTCTGTCTGACACATTGGGAAAGCAGTCGCTTAGAAATGGCTGCTCCACGTAAGTGCATGGGGGTTGCAAAAACCCTCCAATGCATAGAGCTCTGACTAACAAGGCTTGTGTTCTATCACTAGAGTCCTAATGTCAGAGACCAGATGGCTGCCCCTGTGGTCTGGGCCATGGTGTTCTGCACTGAGGAACCTGTCTGTTCTCTCATGACTGCAGGGATCTGAAATTGTTTGCAGCCCCTGCTGTTGCTGTACCCTGGAGAAGTGTATTTGTCTGGGGCTGAATTTGTGATACCAGGGCTAGATACTGCTGACCTTATTCACTGTTGTGACAGTGTTCAGTGGCAGTTCTGTGTGAGCGAGGTCTGCAGGAATGGGCCTCATCTGCATGGGTGCTCTCTTACCCAGACAGAACCTTGTGGGCTGGACTGTATCCTGTGTGTGAAATTCCACTGGCAGTGGAGATGCACAAGTAGTTAGCTTTGGAGAGCGGGGTAGTCTAAATCTAATACCTTTGGGAGGCTTGGGTGGAAGGTGCTAGAGTGAGGAGACACTAACTCATGACCCCTCCCCGGCCCTCTGAGGTTGGTTGCTATTAGCTGCAAAGTGACTGGCTGCAAGGTCCTACACAACATCAATAACAGAAGCAGAAGCCAGTCCCGGTACTCAGTACCAATCCAGCTCTACTCATTAGACCACGCCCCCTTCCAGAGCCACAGAACCCAGGAGCCCCGACTCTCAGACCTGTGCCTTACATCACAAGGCCAAACCTTCTTCCATTAAGGGAGCTATAGAAGGGATCATCTGTAGAGACTCCCTCTACACTCCCACTGTCAGAGACTGTTTCCATGGGTGACAAGTGCATGAGCAGAGATCTCCCCTATGGGAATCCTAGAGGCTGCACAGTTGGGTTTCACAGGGAAGGCCTCCGGCAGCCATTGATAGAGTGTTGCATTGAGGAGATTTTCCATCTCTAATAAAGGGTTTCTGTTCTCCCAGATCGTTGGCCACTTAGCAGAATGCAAAAGAGCCATGTGGTGATGGGCTAGAGGAGTCACAGGAGTTACCATGTGGCTGTGTAGCAGGTGCAGTGCCTGCCATCACCGTGGGCCAAACCCTGGACTCCGGACAATGCAGGCTAAGTGACCCTTGATTGCGAAGGGGACTTTGGCTTGGGGAATCGGTTGCTGGTACCTGTGTCCATAGACAGAGAACTGAGATGTTTTCATGAGGCTACTCAATGGTACATGCAGCTCCATGCAGACAAGTGGCGAATGTACGTTAAAGAGCGAGGCTGGGACCTCTGCGGAGCTGCTGCACTCAAGCATCCACAGCCAGGAGAGAGACGATGGGAAACTTGCTAAGATGGCTGGCCATAGCGCTGAGAAAAAGCAGTTTAGCAGCTAGTTCATGGGAAATAAAAAGGAACTAAATATTGCTCCCTGCTCAATAAAGTGTTAAAAATGTGTCTCTTCAAAATTGCTCTGAACTTTACAATGTCCTTGTATAATTTGCGGCGGGGGGCGGGGGATTTCTAAATGTAATATTTCATGCTCCTAAAATGACCTATCAGGTTCAATCTCTAAGCACCTAATTCTACAACTTGAGCTGAACTGAACAAATGCCTCAGGATGAGCCTCCAGGGAGGCATTCAGTACATAGGGTCATAGAGCGGTATGAGGTTCCCCTTGCAGAGTTGCCTGTTGACAGAGCCCTTGTCGGGGAGCACATCAGGGTACTGTGGACTGGGCAGGAGAGACATGCCTCCAAACCTGCACAGCTCTGTCCCAGAGCCCAACACTTCCTCAGAGCAACTTAGGAGCCAGAGGGCACCTGGACGCTCCCTCTCTGTGCCCCAGCAGCACAGAAGCAGCTGTCTGCAGACATGTCAAGTGCCATCTCCTGTGACACTCACATGAGGGTCACTGATGCATTTTGTAGAGTCCAGGCTGAAGGCCACATACTCCTCTGGGCTCTGGGAAACAGGACGACTTGTGCTGCAATAAATCTTTCTATGCACCTGCCAAGCAAGCAACCTCGCTGCTCCCCAGCCTCCAGGAAGCACTGAGGGGTAAGGAGACAGAGTTACACCTGCCTCAAAGCTGGGTATGGGAAGAAGCAGAGCTAAAGGATAACAGCCATGCTATAGTGTTCCCCCTAGGTTCACTCCAACAACCACCTGGCTCCTTCCCATTGTTGAGCTAGGTTCCCCCACTACAAAGCTGCCTCTGGCTTACTACAGGCTCTCCCACTGCCCTGTTGAGAGAGAGGTAAGGAATGCCTTTTGCCCTGGCTTCTAAGTGGGGAGCCATGTGTGACCCCAGCTCCTTGACAGTCACTTGAGAGTGTATCTACATTGCAATTAGACACCTGTGGCTGGTCTATACCAGCTGCTTTAGGGCTTGGGCTGCAGGGCTCTTTCATTGCAGTGTAGACTTCTGGGCTCAGGCTGTAGCTTCAGCTCTGGGACCCTCTGACCTTACAGGCTTGAACATGGAAGTCCCAAATCCACCCTCAGCCACGTCACTGGGATTGTAGGGAGGTCACTGAGGCAGAGTTCGTCCCCAAGAATGCTGCCTTGTGTTCTCTTTCTTTAACGTATATTCCTGGTGTCCCCATCGTATGAGAGGCTGGTGATAGCAGACTGTAAAGAGTTCATTTCAAGGTCATGCATATCATCATCAGGGCAAATCTGTAATTATAAAACTCACCTGAAACATCTTTAAAAGCAAACACATCCATTTGATGTTTGGAACCCTGGGAAAACAAGTAGAAGGGTATTAAGGGGGGAGGAACCATGAGATTCTCTCATCCAGTCTCCTGATCTTCCATCTGTGGGAAGGGCATGGACCTACACATGGCCTATCCTGGGACCCCATTTAAATTGGGATTCCAGCACAGACAGCTGTGGAGTGGCCACTCTGTGGCCATGAGATGGAAAGCCACAGTATTATTGATTATTAGTGTTTTCAAATCCACCAGAAGGACTTCCATTGATTTCAAGGGTCTTTGAACTGGATGTGCAAGTCTTGATGGTTCTGCTAATTTAGATTTGCTTTTATATATAACCTTCTCATAGGCAACATGGCAGAAATGAGTTTTTAAGAGTTGTTCCCATAGGCCTCAATCCCACAAACATTACAGCATGCACATAGCTTTAGTCACAAGAAGGTTCAGCTGCGTTCAGTGGGATTACTTATATGAATAACATTAAGCAAGTGATTGGGTGTTTGTAGGTTCAGGGAGTTAGTCCTTCACCTGAACAAAATAGTTAGTTTCCCCCTTCACTGAGTCACAACAGTCAAAGACAAATCTCTCCTGCCCTGTTGCTAAACTGCTTTTTCACTGGAAGAACTGAATTAAAATCCACCCTCCCTGCCCAGACTCCAAAGGTTTTAGAAACAGAAAACTACAAAAACTTTTCATGTCACAGGACTTAATTTTATATCTCAGTTGAATTTTAATCAACAATTTATCCACATGCTTTTTGTTTAAAAAAAACTGATCTTTAAAATAATTTTAGCGATTTTTCTTGGAAGCAGAGAAGAGTCTGACAAACATGCACATGGCAGAGACAGGATCGTTGACTAATGTATGTATCAAATCAGTACCACATCATACAGAGTATTTTTCCATGTGCATAAATCAGTGAACAACCTCTCAAGATTGTTGGGCAACTGTTTTCTTTCCAACCTCAATCCTGTATCTGTAATCTGTGTCTTGTTGTATTGTCTGTGTCAGAGCCTTACCCAGGAGCCCTTGCTTTCGTGAGTAGCGCTTTCGTGAGGCCAGTAGGACTACACCTGTAAAGGCCTCAAGTTTGGGCCATAAATCAGACACAAATACAGAATTCAGTGGCACTCAAATAATCAAACCCCACTGCATCACTTCTTTTTTAAATGAAAAAGGTCTTCCCTCTCCATCCAATTTTTCAGTGAGCTATTTTGCATAATACTATGCTCCTGTCTTTCCTTAACTGATTTCAGAGCCACTCTTAGTGTACACGGCCCATTACTCTTCCAGCAAATTTGCGCAATTTTAAAATGAACAAATGTTGAAAAATAAAAGCTGTTCAAAGCTGCCTTCTCCCCAACCACTGTCATCAGTGCTGTCCTGTTCAAAGTGAGCCTCAATTGTGCTATTAAAGCATAATCCTGCTGCAGCAGACTGTGGGGGAGGAAAAATCACGGCCTTCTCCCCAGCCCTGGGGTCCTAGGTGGGAGCAGTCCCTGTGCGCCCCCAAGTCCAGATCTGCAATTGTGCTGTCCCTTTGTGTGGGAGTATGAGGCAGAGAGGCCATAAAGGCTCCTTGGACACATATTTGTTCACTAGCCAGGTACAATGTCCTTAAACTGAAAGCACCTCAGAGCAGAGCCCTGTTCATGCAAGCACCATGCACACACATGGCGTTGTATGTAGAATAAATAATAACCTATGAATATCCCAATTTGCAGATGTACTGAATCACCACTTAGCATTTCATACAAAGCTTGTTCAAAGTGTTGAGATTGTGCCCAATTTTAAGACTGCCTAAAAGGCTGGACTAAAAATATTTGCTACTTGCTAACTGTGAATGGCAAAAGCTATTTGTGGGCAGTGCCAAGAGTTGCATTGGCAGATCTTGCTCAAAACCAACTCTTGAAAGCAGTAGCTCCATAAAGGTAATAGTGATTGGCTGGTTGTATTTCTGAATCTGCAACTTCATTTGAGCAACTAATACTTTCAGGTAAGTGCTGTGCAGAAGCGTAACAAGAAATGGGATTCTTTGTAATTGCTCAGATTGCTGCAGTCCCTTATTTTTATGTTTCTTCTTTTGAAAATCTATTTTTGGGGTCTGTACTTCCTTTACTATATATATTTTTCTTTTTATAAACATAAAACAATATTCCAATTTACAAAAAGTGCAGATTGGACAAAATCTATAATAAACTTCAATCGGTACCAAAAACCCACAAACCATTTAATGTGTCATTACTTGGGAGAGGAGGGAGGGATACACAGAGTATCATCGTACTGGAGTGCAGGTTAACAATGATCAGTTAACACCTTATTGATCTTTATGAATGGAAAATGGACAGAAGGATCAGAAAAAGATGAGAATTCTTGTAATAAGCTACAGAAAGGGAGCAACAGCTGTATAGGGCACAGTATCCGTTCCCTCTTCTTCTTAAGTGAAGATTTGAGAATTTCATCTTTTATATTGCAACCCATGATTTCTGGTCTATTGAATAAAAATGACACTTCCTAGTGTGGTCACACTGATTGTAGTTCACGCACTGGCCATGTGAGGGCATGGCAGAACAGATCTAGGAGGCCAGGGTCAGAAAGTTTCTGGGCTGCACCATGCCATTCTGTTGATCTCTGGAAAAGAACAATCATACTCAGAACATTTTAAAATACTGTTTCTTAACCTTTACACGTCACAATGAAACACTGGCTGCAGAAGAAAAGCACCATGGAAGAGCTAAGCATTATTATCCTCTTCTCTCAGTCAGATGAAGGGAACTGTGCTGTGCTGTGCCTCCACTGCACAGAAAAGCCACCCTCCTCCAATAGTGATGTTTCCCCAGAAGGCAAGAGGGCTTTGGGTGAGTGTACATGTGGTTTCTTAGTTTCAAAGTAAAAGGTGTCTTTATTTTCTCAACCCCCAACAATATGAGCTGTGATGTTTTGGAATACACAGTAGGAACTGTCAACTGAGTCTAGTATCTCTAGCAGTGACCAATGCTGAATGGTTCAGAGGAAGGCATAACCACCCCTCTCCACCATTCCATTATGGATAGGTCTACATGTGAGTGAAATAAGCACCATCTTGTAGGAAGCTTTAGATGAAAAGAAAGCATTTTTACCCATTGCTGGTGTCAAAGCAGTTATGAGATCAATAAAGCCCTAAGACCCACGTGTTACCATTGTACATGTTATTTATTACACAATTTGTTGCAGAAGTGATAGTTCAGGCATTAAGGGCTAAAATGGATATCTGAAAGGACTGGTGGCCAATTGTATAAATAAAATGTGATGTAGAGCCATGCACATTTGTCTTCAGCTTTCTGCACAAGGTTCTAGATGGTTAAACCATCATACAAAGGCCTTGGCATCCCTCTGTCTCAGAATCCTGAACATCTGTATGTTTCTACTTTTGTTACTGTGTGTTCCCAGAGTCTATGAGCTGGCATGCTACCAGCTCCTGTCCAGCTGATAAACATGCTTCATAAATATGAAAGATTATGTTTATAGGTTCCTCAGCTCCCTGATAAACTAGTAGGATACTCCATTGCAGTCTCTCATATGACAGACTGCTTGGCACAAAGTTGGATTCAGTAAAGTGTATTGCAGTTTAAGGCAGATGGGGTGGCTGTGTTCAATTCCTATTAGTCACAATACACTTTATTTAATCAAGTAATTAGTAACAATGAGCATTTTCACTGCAGTAAAGTTAAAATTATTCAAAGAAAACTGGGACTTCTATCATACTAAATAACAACAAATGCTGAATTGGCATTAAGATAAACAAATTGACAATGAGTGCTTGAGTGTGGCATAGTTTAAAGAAATTGGGTATAACGTGACCATATTTTCTAAATCAAACACTAGGACCCTTTTGTGGCAACGTCTTTAAGGGTTGTGAAATTCACATGAAATTACTATTTCAAACTATATGAAATATGATTTCATATTTTCATTGCAGATAGCTTCAGCTCTGTATGAAGCTACATCCATGTGAAATTGTGATGTAAACCATATATGATTTTTGTATGAAGTCCATGCAGTTTTGATGACCATCTAGAGGAAGGAAGCGAAGGACAGACTGACCACCAGGAACCCATCCATCCTCAATGCCCCTGAGTTAAACAACACTACAGTAACTGTAGTAACCTAACAACAATAAGGAAACAACTACTAAAAGAGCAACGGAATCACACAGTGTGCAGAGAAGTGGTCACTTCCAGGGTTCCGTCTCACTGCCACAGCTGTAAAAAGAAACTGAAGGATGGGTGGGCCTGCTCTACCCTTTATGACCGGGATGGGATGGGAGTGTGTGTACACTTGTGCAGGCATGTCCCCAATAGTCACTGCTATTCAAAAGAATCTGATCTCCTGTGCATGAGGCACGTGTGAACCACAAGTGGAATATGTGTAGACAACTGCATGAAGAACAGGATATTTCAGGCGTCCCAAAAGAAGTTTTTGGGACACTAGGACATCATATGAAAAAAATGGGACATCTGATTTCTTCACTGAGGTAGACCCACTGGGCATGAGTTGCGTATAAGAACATACAATATAAATGAATGGCATAGTTCCTTAAAGTTCTTTGATATGGCCTTCAGACAGAAGAATCTTGATCAATTTATGGAGGTAGATACCAATATCTCTCTGTGAAAAACAATTTATTTTTTACCTGACATGTAGTTTCACAATATATCAGAAAATGTCCTAAATCACTAACTCTATTAAAAGTTTCTATTTATTTGTAGAAATCTAAAGCTAAAATTACACGTCTATGAAAACAAATAAATCCTAAGATGCATCTCTTAGTCAACTTTCATAAATAAAAATCACACTGCATATGGTATATTGGTAAATCAAAGTCTATATTTTGTGGTGACTGCTAATGCTAAACTTTATGTGACTTTATTAAAGTTCTGCTCTGAATTGGTGGCATTTACTTCCAGAAAATCCTTGTCATCTTTCTCTTAAACCTTCTTTGATGGAATGAAGAAATCTGAAACTCCAACCTGATCTCCTTTACGTTCCCTAAATTACAAGAAAATAAATATCCTTCATTAAATTATTTATTTTAATAACGACCCAAATGGCTGAACTTTTTAAAGCTACACTTAATCTCCCCCCAATATACATTTTCTTAGTGAGGATTTTTCTCTTAAACATTTTTCTTTGTAGCATAGTTCAGAATTACTTCATTATAACATTTGTAACAGACAATACAACCTGGTTCTGGAACATTACACATTTTACAAACATTTTACTCCTGGGGAAATTCTGTGGCAAAAAAATAAAAATTCCGCACACCATATTTTAAAATTCTGTAAAACTCTGCATATTTTATTTGTCAAAATAACACAATATAATCACATCAGCTTCAATTCATTTTGGTCATTTATTTCAAAATACCTGTCAGCAAGTATGTCTGTAACAATATAGACAACAAAAAGGATTCAGGAAATGTTTTTTTGACAAATAGATTCCGTACTAGGCATATTAATACAGAACTCTGAGTAATAATTCATTTAAACTATAGTACAGAACCATATTTCCCACACCCCTCAGAAATGATGCCAAGGCTTAGGGGAGTGAGGGGTAATGGAGGAGCTGAGAGAGAGGGAAATAAATTGCTTGGAAGGAGCCTGGGTGTGAACTTGGAGGATTGTTGGGTATGGGTGGGAAAAATATGGAACAGGTTTTTTTGTGGGGTGGGGAGGAATTGTTAGGGAGCTTTCCCCATGCAGACCCTGGCTGATCCCTAGCCTCTCCCATTCAGTCAGGCACAGCTGCCCCTTTCCCCATGTGTTCCTGAACCCCCATGTGTCCCTCCACCCCTACTCAGATATCCACTCCCCACATCCCTATGTATCCCTGCACCTCCTCCTCACCTCCCTATGTCCCTGTACTCCCTCCCACTGTCCCCATGTGTCTCTGTACCCCTACCCAGCCACTCCCCTGTCCCTATGTAGCTCTGCACCCCCCTTCCCCATGTGGCCCTGCACCTCCCTCTCCCCTGTGGCCCTGGGCCTCCATTCCCATTCAGCCCCTGCCCCAGTCTGCCTCCCCCTAGCCCTTATGAGCCTCTGTATGACCCCTACCAGCACACCATGCTGTCCATCTCCCCATAACCCTTGTCTCCTGACCTGGCCAGCTGCAAAGAAGGCTCTGCAGGCTCTCTCTCTTCCCTAGCTGGCTGGGAGCTGCTGTGTTTTATTGACACAGCACCCTCTGGTGGTCAAAAGACGGAACTACAGCAACATTTCGGCAGAAGCTTTTTTCTGAACAAAAATTTAAAAATATGAGCGGCTCATTAATTATGCACATGCACAGTAGTGCAGAATTCCCCCAGGAGTAAATATTTTTCTTGCACCAAGTAATCTATCAGCCACATTTTGCTTTATTTAAAATATAGAATTGAGGATTAGTACCACATAAAGTTGCCCTAACTCTTAAATCCACTAAAGTCAAGAGCACAGAAGCTCCATAAAGCTCCATTCAATGGGCTCAAATAAAAAAAAGGGTAAAGGCAGAATCAAACCTAGGATTCTGGAAGGGTTCTTGAAGGTGAAACCTAATGTAATACTATGAAATCCAAACAACTTCAAAAAGATCTGCCAATAGCACTGGAGTGTCTTATATGGGACATTGCTGTTCTTCTTCGAGTGCTTGCTCATATCCATTCCAATTAGGTGTGCGCGCGCCGCGTGCACAATCGTCGGAGAAATTTTCTACCCTAGCAACACCTGGTGGGTCGGCTGTGGAGCCCCCTGGAGTGGCGCCTTCATGGCACTGGATATATACCCCAGCCGACCCAGCACCCCCTCAGTTCCTTCTTACCGCCCGTGACGGTCGTTGGAACTGTGGAGCACGGCATAGCTGTTCTCCACTTTCCCTAGCTTTACCCGTTGCTTCTTGTAGATAGTTGTTAATTGTGGTTTTTAGATTAGTAGTTGTTGTTAATAGTTATAAATAGTTTTTCGTAGTTAGCGGAGGTTAAGGGGGCCTTTATTTCCCCCTTCCCCCCCCCCCCCGGGCCCCACCGGGCCCCTCCCCCCCCCCCCCCGGCGCACAGCCGGGCTCATGCCCAC